TAGCAATAGTGAACGACGGTTTCACATGCATACATTTATATCCATGTTGAATTTTAGTTTCCTACCGAGGCTAGTTTCAGAATTCAAATTGTCTCTATGTCTCTTCTCTTGTTAATTACATTTTTCATGTTACACTTGTCGCCCTACATATTCAGTACATATTTCGTACAGATGCATTTTTATGCGCTGTGTTCATGCCCACAGGTTCGGATAGACAGAGCAGCGTGCCTCCTCAGTACGACCCCCAGGATCAGCGTTGGGTTTCGCACTCCACTTCTTCGGAGTTGCTGACTTTGAGTCCATAGGTACTATTACAGATGTATATGTGTGGTTTTGGGCATGTCGGGGGCTTTGTCCCGCCCTGTTGAGATTGTCTTACACTCTTAGAGGCTTGCAGACTAGCGGTCATTGTATATATATATTTTTCGTATCGCCCTATCGGCCTTCTGGATAGCTATTATACTGTTGTTGCAGCCTTGTTGGCCTAGTTTATATATATATATATATGTCGTGTTGGGCTCTTCTGCCTACAGGTTATTATATTTCAGATCATATCTCATGGTTGGTTCGCTCGGGCCTTCGGGCATTGGGTGCCAGCCATACCTCCCAAGGTTGGGATGTGACAATCTTGGTATCAGAGCAGGTCAGTCCTAGGGAGTCTGCAAGCCGTGTCTAGTAGAGTCTTGTTTATGGTGTATTGTGCACCACACTTATAAATATGAGGCTATTGGGAATTTAAGATTATTACTTTCTTCTTGATCTAGATCGTGCAATAGAGCCTAATCATAAGTGTTCATTCCTAATTCTCTTTTTGTTCACCTTCTCAGTGATGCCTAATACTACGAGACGACAAGTGGCTATGAAATTTATTCATAGGTTGGATGAGGATGCGGGAGAGGGCACAAGTCAGGTGCCACCTGCTAATGTAGATCAACATGAGCCACAGAATGAGGCTGATTCTCAGGCTTCCGGGGCAGTACCCCCACCACCCCGGGAAGGGAGTAGAGGGGCTAACATACCTCCAGTCCCTCTCCCAATTGTTCCTGATCAGGACCTAGACATGCGGAGTGTTGTACAATTGATGACTCGAATAGTGGTTTCCCAGGCCCAACACCAGAACCTCGGTATTGCTGATAGGTCCGTGAGTGCGAGAGTTCGGGACTTTATCAACTTGGATCCTCCAGTATTTATAGGGGTTGATCCTAATGCTGACCCATAGGATTTTCTGGATCTTATGCAACAGACCTTACAAATTATACATGCCACGGATGTTGAGTCAGTGGATTTTACTTCTTATAGACTACGTGATGTTGCTGTGACATGGTATGAGACTTGGAAGCAGACTCGGGGGCCTAATGTGCCACCAGTGACATGGAAAGAGTTCTCTGAGGCATTTTTACAGCAATATTTGCCAATCGAGCTTCGAAGAGCCTGACGAGATAGGTTCTTACACTTAGAACAGGGTAATATGAGCGTTCAGGAATATAGCATGCAGTTTAACTCTTTGGCTAGGTATGCTCCTACGATTGTTGCTGATATGAGTGATCGGGTACACCAGTTTGTTAGTGGTTTGTTGGCACACTTGATAAATGAGTGCACTACATCTTCTAGAAACCAAGGAATGGATATTGCCCATATTCAAGCATATGCACAGGATCTAGAGGATTGCAAGAGGCAACAACAAGCCAATCGAGAGCATGATAGAGGGAAGCAGAAGAGGGTGTGGTTCGCAGGTAACACAGGAGAGTTTTGAGGTGGATTTAGGCCATAGTTTCCCCGGCGTCAGTCTTATCCGGCAGCCAGTGCACCACCACAGTTTCAGGGACAACGACAGGATCAGACCCCTTATTCTGGTCCAGGTCAGAGTTCATGGACCCCAGGTCCACAGTTTAGAGGCGAGTTCAGTCAGATGAGGCCTCAGTTTCCTAGATGTGATAGATGTGGCCGAAATCATTTTGGACCATGTCGCCAGGGTTCTGATGCGTGTTATGCATGTGGACATCCATGTCATATTATGATATATTGTCCGATGACAGGTGGAGGGGGTATGGCTCAGCCGACGGCATCTGCAGGGGCTTTTTCTTCTTCGGTACATCCTCCTAGGCAGAGTATGCAGACATCAGCTGGCAGGGGTAGCGGAAGATTTGGCGCTTCTTGTTCAGGAGGTCAGCAGAATCACATATATGCTTTATCGAGTCGTCATGATTTAGAGTAATTTCCGGATGTGGTTACAGGTATACTATCCGTCTTTTCTATCGATATGCATACCTTGATAGATCCTGGTTCTACATTGTCGTATATCTCCCCCTTCGTTGCTAGTAAATGGTATAGAGATCCTGAATTGTTGCATAAGTCCTTTGAGGTTTCTACGTCAATGGGTGAGTCTGTTGTAGTTAGACGGGTATATCGAAGTTGTGACGTGAAGATTCATAACCGCCATACGTTAGCTGATTTGCATGAGCTAGAAATGGTTGATTTTGATATCATTATGGGTATGGATTGGTTGGCTTCTTGTTATGCCAATGTAGATTGCTGGACAAAGATTGTTCGTTTTAATTTTTCAAGTGAGCCTATTATTGAATGGAAAGGTGATATTGCAGCGCCTAAGGGAAAGTTTATTTCTTACCTTAAATCTCGAAGGATGATTTTGAAAGGGTACATCTATCATTTGGTACGAGTGCATGATATGGAGGTGAAATCTCCAACTCTTCAATCAGTTCCCGTCGTGAATGAATTTCCTGATGTATTTCCTGATGAACTTCCTGGTCTTCCTCCAGAAAGAGAAATCGACTTTGCTATTGATATGCTTCCAGATACTCAACCAATATCTATTCCTCCATACATAATGGCTCCTGCTGAGTTAAAAGAATTGAAAGCCCAGTTGAAGGATCTTCTGAATAAGGGCTTTATCAGGCCCAGCACATCTCCCTGGGGTGCACCAGTGTTGTTTGTTCGTAAGAAGGATGGTTCGTTAAGAATGTGTATTGACTATCGCCAGCTCAACAAAGTGACTATCAAGAACAAGTACCCTTTACCCAGAATTGATGATTTGTTTGATCAGTTGCAAGGTGCCAAATATTTCTCAAAGATTGACCTTCGATCCGGCTATCACCAATTGCGAGTTAAGGAGAGAGATATTCCGAAAACGGCTTTCCGGACTAGATATGGCCATTATGAATTTCTTGTGATGTCTTTCGGTCTTACTAGTGCGCTAGCAACTTTTATGGATTTAATGAATCGGGTTTTCAAGCCATTTCTAGATATATTTGTAATTGTTTTCATTGATGATATTCTGGTATATTCTCGATCAGAAGCAGAACATGAGGATCATTTGCGTGTGGTGTTGCAAACTTTGAAAAATCAGAAATTATATGCTAAATTCTCCAAATGTGAATTTTGGTTGAATTCAGTGTCTTTCCTTGGGCATATCGTTTCCGATGAAGGTATTAAGGTAGATGGTCAGAAAGTTGAAGCAGTACAAAACTGGCCTTGACCCACAACTCCTATGGAAGTTCGTAGTTTCTTGGGCTTAGCTGGTTATTATCGGATATTTGTTGAGAACTTCTCTTCTATTGCTGCTCCCATGACAAAATTGACACACAAAGTCGTTAAGTTCCAATGGTCTGATGCATGTGAAAGGAGCTTTCATGAGTTGAAGAAACGCTTAACATCAGCACTTGTTCTAGCACTTCCTGAAGGATCTGAAGGTTATGTGGTATATTGTGATCCATCTAGGGTTGGATTGGGATGTGTTCTAATGCAACATGGAAAAGTTATTGCATATGCTTCGAGGTAGTTGTGGAAGCACGAATACAATTATCTGACTCACGATATTGAGTTAGCAGCCGTTATATTTGCCTTGAAAATATGGCATCATTATCTTTATGGTGTTCATGTGGATATCTATACAGATCACAAAAGTTTACAATATATATTTAAGCAGAAAGAGTTGAACTTGAGACAAAGGAGGTGGCTTGAATTGCTGAAGGACTATGATGTGGATATTTTGTACCATCCGGGCAAAGCGAATGTGGTAGCTGATGCATTGAGTCACAAATCCATGGGCAGCTTGAAGCATGTAGAAGCTGGGAAATTAGAAATGACTAAGGAGATATATCAATTGGCTAACCTGAGTGTGCGGCTACATGATACAAGTGACCAGGGTGTAGTAGTCTAAAATATTGCGGGGTCATCACTGGTAGCTGAGGTAGAAATGTGTCAATTTGAGGATCCAGAGCTAGTCAAGATTAAAGAGAGCATCACTTTCCAGAAGAAGCAGTTGTTCAAGCAATCTGATAATGGAATTCTAAAATATAAAGGCCGATGGTGTGTACCTAATGTTGGGGAGCTTCGTAAGCAAATTATGACAGAGATGCACCAGTCTCGGTACTCAGTTCATCCTGGTTCAACCAAAATGTATCATGATCTTCGTCATCTATACTTGTGGAATGGCATGAAGAAAGATATAGCCACATTTTTGGCTCAGTGTCCCAACTGCCAGCAGGTTAAAGCTGAACACCAGAAACCTAGAGGGCTACTTCAAAATATTGAGATTCCAGCTTGGAAATGGGAATCGATTAATATGGATTTCATTACATGATTTTCCAATTCTCACCGTAAGTTCAATTCTATTTGGGTCATTGTGGATAGGCTGACGAAATCAGCTCACTTTCTCCCAATTAGGACCACCTATTCAGCTGAAGACTATGCAAGCCTGTATATCAAGGAAATAGTTCGGCTACATGGAGTTCCGTTTTCTATTATATCTGACAGAGGTGCCCAATTTACAGCTAATTTCTGGAGGTCTTTCAAGAAGGTCTGGGTACTCTTGTTAACCTTAGTACAACATTTCATCCGCAGACCGACGGACAAGCCGAACGTACTATTCAGACACTCGAAGATATGTTGCGAGCTTGTGTCTTAGACTTCAAGGGAAGTTGGGAAGATCATTTACCGCTTATTGAGTTTGCCTACAATAACAGTTATCACGCCGTATTCAGATGGCACCTTATGAGGCACTATATGGGAGGAAATGCAGATCTCCTATTGGCTGGTTTGATGTTGGCGAGACAAAGTTGCTAGGACCTGAATTGGTACAACAAGCTGTAGAAAAGGTAAAGTTGATCCAGGAAAGGTTTCGTACAGCTCAAATTCGACAGAAATCATATTCAGATAACCGACGTTGAGACTTGGAATTTGTTGTGGGAGACTGGGTATTCTTGAAAGTGTCGCCTATGAAGGGTGTAATGAGATTTGGTAAGAAAGGAAAACTCAGCCTTAGATATGTTGGGCCATATCAGATTGTTCAGAGAATTGGGCGAGTAGCCTACAAACTTGACCTGCCACCAGAATTAGAAGCAATCCATCCGGTATTTCACATTTCCATGCTTCAGAAATTCTTAGGTGATCCTTCTTGCATTAGCCCTATTGAGGATATTGATGTTTCCGAGAACTTGTCATATGAAGAAATACCTGTTGCCATTCTTGACCATCAAATCTGTAAGTTATNCAGCCCTATCGAGGATATTGAAGTTTCTGAGAACTTGTCATATGAAGAAATACCTGTTGCCATTCTTGACCGTCAAATCCGTAAGCTACGGACTAAAGAGGTAGCCTCAGTAAAAGTACTTTGGAGGAGCAATAATGTAGAGGAAATGACATGGGAGGCCGAGGAGGACATGAAGTCCAGATACCCCCATTTATTTGAGTCTTCAGGCGATATGCTTGAGACAAATATGGCAGGTGTTGCACATATATCAACCAGTGACAGTTGAGGTAATTAAGTTATGGCTAACCTTCTTATTATCATTATTGTAAAAGTAAATGGTCGTGTGAGGCCAAGTTGATGTTATTATTATGATGTGTAGCCCTGTGTGGCCTTAGATATGTATGTTTGGGCTGATGACAGGTTTTGGATATTCCTATTTATAGAGGAAACTCTGGCGAAATGTTATTTTTTTAAAAAAATTCAGAAGTTAGGTTAACCGTTAACATTCTAGGACGAATGTTCTTAAGGAGTGGAGAATGTTACACCTTATGTATTCGGCGTTATCATGCTATAAATGGGTTAATTCGATAAGAAGATAATTTCTATGAGATATTTAAATGATGTGATAGTTATACGTTAAGATTGGAAGTCATTTGAGTTGTGATTAAAAATTCGACAAAGATCGCGCGCAAGTTACGGGTTTAAATTTCACTGGAATTGGGATAAAATTTTGATGAGCTTTTCTCTCAATATACTGGGATTTATAGTGTGTTCTACCTATCAAATCAAAGTTCTATGAGTCTAGTTTCCAACGCAATAAACCGTTCGTTAATACGACTTCGGAGTAGAGAGATATTAAAATTTTCGTACAGGGGTGCACACTGTTACGGGAACAGTGTGCCTAGTCGGGTTTGTTAAAATTTCTTTATTTAAGCCAATTTTTAAAACAGAACCCCTGCATTTTTTTCCTCTCCAAAACAGAACCTAACACCTAGGGATTTCCTCTCAAACTCCTCCCATCCATCTAGCCAATCATAACAACAATTTAGTCATCCTCAAGATGGAGAACACCATGGTAGCTTCGGAATCGTGAATTCTTCGGTGTTTCACTTTTCATAGCAAGACTCCGCCTTGAAGAAATTTCAAATTTTGAGTAATTCTGGTCATATAAGGTATGATTTAACTTCCTCTTTGATCTTTGTAAACTTCTACCATAAGAATTTCCTAAGAAATAGTTGAAACCTCTATAGAAATGCTCTTGATTTTGTTAAGAAACCTCTCTTAATATGGCTTGATTGTTGGGGCTGTTCTATATGGTTTTATTGTGTTGTTTGGATCTGTGAAGACATGGATGGAATCATGTCGATTAGGAGATGTAGTAAAGTAAAATTTGGTGGTGTGTTGGGGGGAAATTAATCTACAAAAGAGTCT